CTGGGCCAAATCATCATCATCTACATGGAGCGCTAGATAATGATTTACAGTAGCATCTAAACTGGTCTTGAAGCCACTCTGGTCCTTGCCCCACTGTTGTCACTTTTCAACGTTGTAACCAGAGTGATTAAGTCATTTCTCTCCTTAAAATCCTTAGGCTTCTTAAGACACTGTGTCTTCCACTTCTCTTGGGTTTCTGGCTCTGAGAGAAGCCAGCTGTCATGTCATGAAGACATTCAGCCAGCTCTATGAAGAGGTCCAGAACCACTCAGCTAAACTGCTCCCAAATTCCTGACTCAGAAACTACATGAGATAATAAATACTTGTTGTTATCTTGAAAAAACAAAATTCTCAGGCTTCTTAGTTTGCTTAAGAGCAAAACACAGAGTCCCTACAATAGCTGAGGAGGTCCTACATGACCTGAAACTCACTGCCCACCCCTGCCTCCCCAGATTCATCTACTGCTTCCCAGTGCTCACTCCATCTCAGCCACACAGACCTCTGACAGCTGAAGTCACCCCAGGAGGTGGCCTCTCGGGGTCTTTGCACTGGCTGTTTCCTCTGCCTGGAAAGCCCTTCTCCCAGATACCTATATAATTGAGACCCCTGCCAGTCAGGTCTTTACTCACATGTTTCCTACTTAGGTTTTCCCTGACCTCCTTATTTAATAACATAAACTGCCTTCCCCGAAACACATATCCCCCTTCTTTGTGTCTTTTTTTTCCCGTAGCATTAATCATCCAGCATTACATACTTTGCTTTTGGATTCACCTTACTAGAACTTAAGCTTCATAGAATAGGGATTTTTATCTTTTTTTAATTGATGTATCTGCAGAGCCTAGAGCAATGCCTGGAAAATAGCAGGCAACCAATATTTGTTAAATAAATAAAGTAATATCATCATCCTTTCCCTTATTTATATAACTATTGATCCCTTACCTTTAAAAAAATATATCCACATGCCTCTTTTTGTCATACACCAAACGTCTTACCTGCCTTGAGCTTTCTTGTTCTGGTCTTACCTCCACCTGGGATACTCTTCCTTCTCTGTCCCATCTCTCCCTTAGTCCTATCGAGATGTAATCTTAATCTGTAGTGCTTACCTCTCCAGGGCATTTACCTCTTCCTAGTATTGGGTTTTGTATGTTTGGGTTTAGCTCCTTTACTGGATTGCAGACTCCCGCAGAGCCAAATCCAGGACCCTTTGTCATCTTTTTCTCCTATATTCCATTCAAAGGGTAGCCTGGAGTAAACTCAAACTCAGCTAAGTTACCTGTTCAGCTGCAATGTAGTTGATCCTTGAACAATGTGGGGGTTAGGGGCCCCAGTGCTGGGACAGTCAAAAATCTGTATAACTCTGCCATTGGCCCTCTGTATCTGAAGTTCCATATCTGAAGTTCCGTATCTGTGGATTCAACCACTATAGATTGTGTAGTACTTGTATGTATTTAGTCGGGGGAAAATGTGTGTGTTAAGTGGATCCATGCGGTTCAAACCTGTGTTGTTCACGGGTCAACTGTAATTAACTTCATCTCCATTTCCTGGTGGTCAGGGACATCTATAGTGAAATATAGTTCACAATACAAGCCACCTGTAAGACGATGACTAAGTATTAAGTGAAAGTAACATTAAATAATATGGAACCAAAGAGTGAGACAGTTGTTTCATTTGCACGCCCTGTGCCCTGGCCACCTCTTCTCCTCCATCCTTCTGGTTAAATCAGGGATGAAGTATCAGTTCTCTTATGTATGCTTTTTTACAAGAAAAAAAGAAGGCTTCTGGCTCAGAGCCCTTGACAGACAACAGTTCTATTTACTAAAAAAATTGTTTCATTTTCATCGTACTTGTTCTTAAGGCTACATCTACATGTGTGACACTAGTTTTCCATTTACAGAAGTGATCAAAAATGTTCCTCTTAAAAACATATTTAAGTAAAATGGGGAGACTCAGGAGTTCCACTTGTGCCTGTGATGTAGATATCTGAAAAGAAAGTCACCCCAACTCAAACAAAAAAATTGGATAGGTTACAAAATCTGACATTTTATTGGATCTATAAGAAAGGTGATGTGGCAGGGCAGTCAAATAGCCTGAATGTCAAGGAAGGACAAATCCCTCCAAGGAGAGAGTGGATGCAGACTGGCTCACCTGCAGCAGAGCATGGGAGGAAGAAGTGCTGACCACCATGCAAGCAGGTAAGAGGACATCAACTAAAATGTTAAAGAATTGCTAAAGGCCAAACTGGGGCTAGCAGGACAGTATAAAACCCCCGGGCACCTGTGACACCAAGGGACCTCGCCTGCACTCACAATCTCTTTCCAAAACCACCAGGTGTGGGAGTGCTGGAGCCTTACAGAGCCTCCCTAGGTTTGGAGGCGTGCAAAGGAAAGGAGGCATAGGAAAGGCACGAAATCTTGGCTGCCCCTGCGTAGGCCCTTCCCTCATTAGGACCAAAATGGCCTAAACCGCTGGGGGAGAAGCAGAAAAATCTGTCTCCCCAGCGCACAGATAAAGCCCCACTGCTGCCGGGGCATGGTAAGAAAAAAACCTCAACACTTGGGAGGGACAGGATTCAGTCCTGAGCCCCAGGATTTTATATTAATACCATTAAAGTCCTCCTGCCACTGCAAGAGGGGCAGGAAAATCCCCCACAAGACCAGCCACTGACACAAGTCATGGTTTCGCTGCCACAGACAGGAGGGGCAAGAATGCTGAGAAAAGACCCATTCCCAGGGCCTGGGCATAAAGGACATAACTAAAGACAGAGGCTGAATTAGAACAAAGAAACACTGACTCCTCGCCCACTACCAATGGAACAAGTAGCTGGTAACAAACATCAGCTGCTAGGGGTGTGGGCAAGGGGGTAGGGACCACCACTATGGTGCCGTTGTGCAGGACAGCTGAAAGCTAAGGACAAAGTACGAACACTTGAGAACACTTCTTCAGCCCCAACCTAAAGCACGAAATAACACTAGCAGATATGAAATCTCTTGGTACACTGAAGGCCATGATAGCAACAACAAAACCCAAACCTAGCTAAGTTCTTGACTAGATTGACCAAACTCCACACAAATGGCCTTAGAGAAGAAGAGGCTTGCCTGTTTCCAAGCATTAATATTATTTACTTCAGTCTCTACTGTTTTATAAGTAGTGACTGGCATTCAATAAAAAGTTCGAGATACACAAAGTAAGAAAAATCAACCCATTTGTGATAGACAAAATAATCAACAAGACCATATACAGACATGACCCAGATGTTGAAACTATTGGACAGGGACTTAAACTGATTAACACGTTGAAGATCTAGTTGAAAATATGTATAATATGCACGAATAGACTTCGGCAGAGAGGTAGAAATTATAAGAAAGAGACAAATTGAAATAAAACCACAGGATCAAAGATAACTCTTACGGGCTCATCAGAAGACCTTGTCATGCCTGAGGAAATAATCAAGAATCTTGGAAACAGGTCAGTAGAAATTACCCAAACTGAAACCCCCCCAAAAGAAAATAATAAGAGTATTCAAGATCTATGGGATGATATCAGATGGTCCAATGTGTAATTGGAGTCCCAGGTGGAGAAGAAACTGGGCAGAAAAATATTTAAAGAGATGATGCCTAAGAATTTTCATAACACAAGGAAGGACAACAAACCACAGATGCCCGAAGCTCGCTCAGATTAATCCAAGCACTTCTCATACAGGGAAAAATATACTTACTATTTTATCAAGTAATCCCACTCCTAGGTATTTACACACGGAAAATGAAAACCTATGTCTATACAACAACCTGTACGTGAATGTTTTTAATAGCTATATTTATATTAATTGAAATCTGGAACAATTTAAATAACCATTAACTGACAAATTTTTTAACCCCCTGGTACCGCCATACAATCGACTTTTCAACAATAAAAAGGAACAAATCACTAATACATGTAACAATATGGATGGATTTCAAATATATGCCAATAGAAAGACATCAGATCCAAAAGGCTATATAAGATTCCATTTATGATATTCTGGAAATGGCAAAACTATGGGGACAAAACAGATCAGTGGTTTCCGTGGACCAACTGTTGAGAATCGTGGATTCACTGAGCACAAGGGAAATTTTCGGGATGATGGAACTATTGTATACTTGTGGTAAATATATGTAAAAATTTGTAACTGTTCAACTAAAAAGGGTAAAATTTTACTGTACGCAAATTATACTTTAAACCTGACTTTTAAGAAATGAGGGGACAAACGTCAAAAATTATGGATATGGGAAAAATTATGAAAGTGGTACCAAAACACTTGAAATTCATAAAATATTGGCAGAGTGGCTGTGAGTTGTTCCAAAAATGATGTAACAATAAATGTATTGATCCATAAGACCCTTTTCATTTCAGAAGTTGGAAAAACAGTACTACTCTTTTTGGATTTGTGGCTTCACCATTTTTTCAGCTACATGACCAGAAGCAAGTTGCTTGATTCCTCTAAACCTCAATTTCCTTCTATAAAGGAGGTACAATCATGCTTGCCTAGAGGGTAGTGGTTGCCAGATAAAATACAGGACATCCTGCTAGATTTGACTTTCAGATAAACGAGTCACTGTTTAGTATACGTATGTTTGGAACATATTTATACTAAACTAGGGTTCACTGTTTATCTGAAATTTAAATGTAACTAGATATTCTGGGTTTTGCTTGCTAAGTCTGGCAACCCTATAGAGGGGCTATTTTGGGAGTTAAGACTCTGTCACAGCAAGACGTTCCCCCACCGTTTGGTATAAGCGCTCAGTGGGGGCTAACGCTATTTTAATCCCAGCCCATTCTTCATTACTTGTTCCTTTATTCTTTCACTCTATTTTTAAATAAATCAATTGTACTTGTGACTCTTCACCCCTTGCAGGCACCAACTCAGAAGAAACTCCAGGACATCAATTGTTAAGCGAAGAAATTCCGAGCGGATGACGTCATGTCGCGCTAGGCCCCGCCCCCAAGGGCGCATACGACGCGTGAATAAGACGTCGACGTGCCGGGAGGCGGCCTCAGGGCCTGACGGGATTGTGGCGGTCCTCTTTTTCAACTCGGAAGCTGCGGCTGCCTCCGGACGCTCTCAACATGGCGACCTCTCTGGGTTCCAACACGTACAACAGGCAGAACTGGGAGGATGCGGTGAGTGTGCCGGCCGGAGGAGGACCGAAAGAGGCGGCGAAGCCAGGCCTCCAGCGGGCTGGCCGCGACGTGGCTGCGGCGCTGCCGAGGGAATTCCGGGGAGAAGTCAGCACCGCGGCCTAGCTCGGCCACGGCTGAAGGCTGGAGGGCAGCCCTCCTGGGGGCTTGGAGGGAGAGGGTTGAGCCAGGATCCGGGACCAGCCCCCTTTCCATCCCTGCCCCCTCCACTCTTTTGGAGCGGGTCTTTTGTCGTTTGCCGGAAGTGCAGACAGCGCCACCTCCCGCGACCGGGCCCGTGCTGGACCTCGGGTTCGTGCTGGACCCCGTGGCCTTGCCCGGTTCCCCAACCTCGCTCCTCGCCCCTTCCCCCAGCCCTACGACTGTGGCTGAAATGGCAGGGTCTTCGGAGCCTGGCCTTCAACCAGATTTCCCATTTTCATCAGGACTTCCCTATTCTGTGCCAGACGTGTCTTGGAGAAAACCCATATATCCGAATGGTGAGTGATCGCGTATGAAACCGGACTTACTGTCTGTGTTCTGTCAGTGTTGTGGTACTTGCACACTGTCGGTGATGGGTTTCTCTTAGCCAAGAAGTAATGATGCTCCTTTACTAACCCAGAGCGTGGGACGAATTTGCAAAGGACTGTCATGCTTGTTTGGAACTCAGCAACAGCCCAGTGATGTAGGAGTCATAATAGCTAATATTCGTTGAGCATTTACCTGGGAGATAGGTCTGTTAATCAAGGCAAAGAGAGTTTATGTCTTTTCAATATAGCCAGTAAGGAGTGGAACTGGGATTTTAATTCAGATATTCTAACTCCAGGGATTTCAGCAAATCAGGAGAACCAGGACTAAAATCTAGGTTTCCCAACTCCTGATCAAATGCCTTTTGGCCACAGCACCTTGTAATCTGTTTAGTGTGAGGTGTCGCCTATCCTTATAAATAAGAGTAAAATTAGCAGCAGTTAACATTTAATAATTAGATTAGGGCTGTGTTGTGATCGATCTCAAAGGTATTGATTAACCATATACAGGGGATCAGCACAGGATGAGTCTATAGTGGTTACCTCTGACTAAACTGAAATGGGCTGTCCTTGGCTGCATCCTTCCTAATTTAGGGACTATGGAAACCATTAAGAAAGTTTTCTTGGGCAGGAACTTGGGAGCCAGATGTGAATCTAAGGGTTGTTGTGTAAAGATACATAGTTATCTTGTGTTAGATCCATAAGATTTTTAAGAGGTTGTGACTTGTAGGTCATTAGATTATATCCCCCCACCCCCAAAAAGGTGGGTTCCCCCACTTCTCCACATCCCTTGAAGATGCCAGGGATTTCCAGATACATTTCTTGGGTCCTGTCTAGGGAAGGAGCAGACATCTTTTTTCTTTCTTTCTGTAACTTTTCTGTTTTTTTTTCCATTTTAGACCAAAGAAAAGTACGGGAAGGAATGCAAAGTAAGTATGTTAAAGAGTAATGATTTAATTTTACATTCCTTTTCTCTTCAACTTGCTGAGCTTTGAAGTCCTTTATAAAAATGAGTGCTACACAAACTTTCATGTATCATTTATATACTCGTTGGCCGTTAACTATCTAATGTGGGGGTAAGAAAATGAGCCCTTTAATGTAAAAATTCTTAAGTTGGTGTCTGTGGTTGGATTTGAGCCCCCTGAGATTGTATATCCCAAGTGTTTGTGCACATGAGCATTTTAGCTGAGGAGGAAGGATACAGCTGTCATAAGATTCTCAAAGGAGTATATGACACTCCCCACTCTCCCCATAAAAGATTAAGGGATATATTATTAATGGTGGTGACCCCTAAGGTGGGGGAGGACTTTGATTTTTGAATATTTTATTTCTATACTATGTGAATTTTTTAACTACTGAGGAAGGGTGTTGTAAAGGATTGAAACATCATATCATGTTTAGACTTGATGATTGCTAAGATCTCTTCTAAACCCTAGATTCGGGAATCCTTGCTTTGAATTCCCCAGTGCTATTGAATCTCCTGAACTGATTGTTCAGATCAGGACCGTTAACACTCTGTGACTTTATTTTGTGTTCCAGATCTGTGCCAGACCATTCACAGTGTTTCGCTGGTGCCCTGGGGTCCGCATGCGTTTCAAAAAGACTGAAGTGTGCCAAACCTGCAGTAAATTGAAGAATGTCTGTCAGACCTGCCTCTTAGACCTAGAGTATGGTATGTTTGCCCTGTCCAGTATGTCTGAAAGTGTGTAGCTGCTCTAGACACAACAAACTGATTTTTTTGTCTCCTGTTTCTCCGGTTCTGACCCCACTTTGAAATGTCCCCTGTGCCTTGCTTTTCCCAGGAAGACAAGGCCCATACCACGTTATTTTAGAGTTCTGAACAACAGTAGGAACTTAAGGAGAAGTTGGGAATTAATCAGAACTGAGCTAAACATCTCTCATGTATACCCTTGTAGCCAAGGTGAGGTGAAGGTGTTATTGCTGTGATAGGTAATTTCTTTGCCTTGGGCTTCTTTCTAGAGCCAAAGCTTTTTTCCACAATCTCTACCAGAAGCTCAAGCTAATTATTCTTTAGATTTTTGTGTAACTGTGTTGTTAGAATTGTAACACTGTATTGGTACTGTTTAACTGCTTTTGGGAGTGATTTTCTTTTTAACTGCAGGTGACTTTTTGTTTATGAAAAAAATATTCTCTCAGCAAGAATTTCTACTATACAATAAAATTAAAGGGAAAAGGAAAGCATGAGTTTCTGTAAGTTCAGAAAGTTAACTCTGCTAATCAGAGTCCTGGTCACATATTGTTTAATATTTCTTACATGTTTGTTAAGGAGGTGTTCTGCTTCTGGAATACAGTGAGCCTTATGTGACTGTGACTAATCTAGAGGGTCTGTAGGACAAGCTTAAAAATAATCCACTTTTTACATTTATTTTAAATAAATCATGTTATAGTAAAAGCTAGATGAATTATTAATTACAGGTCAAAACTGACTATAATAAAAGTTCGTTCATCTAAAAGATTTTCTAAAACATTCATTTCATCCAATGTTAAGAAAACTCAGGAATTTATACAATTTCTTAGAATGTTCTATATTAGTATTGGCCTGATGGTGCTAAAGATTTTGAATTAAAATAAAGCCTCTGGTACCAAATAGGCAAGTGGAGAAAGGAAGAATGATATATTCCATGTTCGTAGTCAGTTTGGATATGATTTAAAATACATCCTGAGTTCTTTTCCTCCTTTGTTCTAGGCCTTCCCATCCAGGTTCGTGATGCAGGATTGTCTTTTAAGGATGACATGCCAAAGTCAGATGTCAACAAAGAGTACTACACACAGAATATGGAGAGAGAGGTACACTGCCACTTGCTTGATAAAAGAATGCTAGGGGATTAGCATAGTCAGTATAATTTATCTTTTGAATGTGTCGTTCCTTTGTAGATTTCTAACTCTGATGGAACACGGCCAGTTGGCATGTTGGGGAAAGCCACATCCACCAGTGACATGCTGCTCAAACTGGCTCGGACCACACCCTACTATAAAAGGAATCGACCCCACATTTGCTCTTTCTGGGTGAAAGGAGAATGTAAGAGAGGAGAGGAGTGTCCATACAGGCAAGAGCTAAACTGCATTTTCAGTGTTTGCTTTCACATGATTGCTCACTAAGAAGTGGGAGACGCTGGCTTAAACTATTTCTGCTTTAAAATAGAAATCTATACAACTAATGTTGTGTATCTCAAGTCTTAGGACTATTACATTTAAAAGAGCTTGATTAAATTGATGTCTTTACTTACAGTGGAACTTTTACTTATAACCAAGCCTTGGGAAACTAAATTGCTCTGCCATATGGTATGCATGTTGACCCTAAAAGTTTTGACTTGAGATATAAGTCTTTACTATCATGGTGTAACTGGCTTGAATCTCAATGTATAGTTGAAGTCAGATTAAGGCCAGACTTCTAAAGAACATGTGGGTATGTTTGAGTCAAGACTGTCAGGCGTCTGGATTGGGAATTCTTACCTTGGGGCTGGTTAACCCCACCCTCACCAAAAAATTATCTATGCCTTTTTCTGGGCCTGGTCCGCAGATTTAATCAGACTCTCAGTGGAATGTAGTACCTCAGATACATTAAGAACCATTGACCTAGGGAAGGGTAACTATGTTGTGGTTACCTTTTGTTTTGGAGTGGATTGTGCCAAAAACATTTCTTTATAAGGAAACTCTGCCATCCTAGATGGCCATCTAAGTGGCTTTTAGGAGGCCAGCAAGTCCTTGTGTGATACAGTAAATCCCTTGGTATTAGCTCTGTTCTGATAATTATGTTTCAGTATGACCATGGTTTCTAGTTCAAAGGGCATTTCAGGGTATTTATTTGGGACTTACGTAGTTAATGTTGGGTGCTACCTGTAAATTTTTTTTTCCTTCTTTTCATCTTTATACATTGTTCTTTCTTAAACCATAGACATGAGAAGCCGACAGATCCAGATGACCCCCTTGCTGATCAGAACATTAAAGACCGATATTATGGAATCAATGACCCTGTGGCAGATAAACTTCTAAAGCGGGCTTCAACAATGCCTCGTCTGGACCCGCCAGAGGACAAGACTATCACCACATTGTATGTTGGTGGTCTGGGCGATACCATTACTGAGACAGATCTAAGGTTTGTGAATATAATTTTTTGAGTTCTTTTTGCTTTCAGCTGCCCTGGAAAAATTTTTTTTTCATGAAAATACAGGAAAACATGATGATTTTGTACAAAGTACATTTTTCTATAGTTCACTCTACAGTTAGTGCGTGTCACTTACTGGAATTTTTATGAAGTTGTCCTTTATGACGCCAGGGTAGTAATATTCATCAGCAGTGCTTATTCCATCCTTGCGTCTGGTAATAATTACATGGGGTTGTATTTGACCTAATAGTCATTAGAATTTTTAAAGATGGCACATATCCAAGTATGATTAATTATGTAGGGAAGAGAGAGCTTTACAATGATAGAACTCTTATGGTTTAACTTGGCTTTTTAAAGAGATTGGTATTTGGTAAATTTGTATTATTCTTGGCTTATATTTTGCTTGGCTAGATGAGACATCTCGACAGATGGTGATGGAAATTGCCTCTTGCAAAGGGATACAGTAGAGAAGAAACTTCTATGTACAACCTGCCCTTGGTAGCCTGTTTGCATTAAACTCTGTCTAGTAAGTGAGCTAGGCAGTCCCCAGAGGGTGGCAGACTTTTTTTCCACCTCCTCTTTTCTTTTCTTTTTTTCACAACCTTAAAATTTTTTTTTTAAAAAACATGTTTGGCTCATGAGCCGTAGGGGTATAGTTTGTTAGCCCCTTATCTAAGGTTTAAGGTCCTTAGAGGAACCTGCTGGAACCCCCTTTCCTCCTTGGGGAAAACCTTGAGGTGTCTGATAGCCTTTGCCTGTTCTTTTTCTTTCCCTCTCTCATACCCGGCACCCCCAGTAGGGTGTAAGGTATTGAGGGGACCACCTGCCAGTGATAAGGCAGATCACCATGGTGCCACCTGCCTTGTGGTAAATCAGTGAAAGAGTTAATGATCCATATTCAACTTCCTGGGAACGTCTGTGTGTTGTTAACTCTCGTTTTTCTCTACTTGTATCCCTACAGAAATCATTTCTACCAGTTTGGAGAGATCCGGACGATCACTGTTGTGCAGAGACAGCAGTGTGCTTTCATCCAGTTTGCCACAAGGCAGGCTGCAGAAGTGGCTGCCGAGAAGTCCTTTAATAAGTTAATTGTCAATGGCCGCCGGCTCAACGTGAAATGGGGAAGGTGAGCATTAGACTTAAAATATCATTTTAAAATATCATTTTAAATCGTTTTAAAATATCATTAGTGAGATTTTCAAGAAACCTTTGCATTACCTGGGGACTAGTAAGCTTTTGGTGAATAGGCTTAAATCAGAAAGACCTTTAAAAAATAATTTTTCTTTCTACCTGACTCTCCATTCCTGTGGAAGTTGGGAAGATGCTGCTTTGGAAATTCATTCAGGGTATGGGTGTAATAATCTGATCCTTCAAAGGTTTATGTTTTTTGTGACCAGTTATTAGAGGCCAAGTGTAATGCTAGGGCATGAACAGTGGCATGAGAGTTTACAAAGAAATTAGTCCTAGATTTTGTCATCTATTGGCCAGGTGTCTTGTGAAGAACAAGAGCTAATTTAAGTTTGAAAGTGATGATTGCATAAGAGACACAGGTCAAATGTCGTGATTCGTCAAAGATGGAACATGGAGCTTGGAGCCAGGGAGATCTCTCATAGAGGCAGCGGCCCTCATGGAGTACTTCCTCAGCACTGTGCTCAACACATGGGAGTTCCTCCTCCAGTCCCTACAGTGATTCCCATGAATTTTGACCCCAGATCTTTTCTTGCTTCAAAACCTTTGCTCTTACCCACTGCATGGTGGCATTTATGGGAAGAGTGTTCGCTGAAGAGGAGGCAAGGAGTGAAGAAACTCTGTTTGACTAAGAAACAAGAGAAACAGAAGTGGGAGAGAAAGTGGGACCAAGTGATGATGGTGTGTGTGTGTCTGTGTCTCCTAGGTCCCAAGCAGCCAGAGGAAAAGAAAAAGAGAAGGATGGAACCACAGACTCCGGAATCAAGCTGGAGCCCGTTCCAGGGCTACCAGGAGGTGAGAACAGACTTTCTGCCTACCCTGTAGCTTACTAACTTCAGGCGCTCACACTGCCTCGATGTTCCACCAGTGTTGAGAGAGACCGAAGTCTCTGGCTCGCAGCAGCTGTGTTCTCCCAGCAGGCTTCCTAGGATTTCAAGGTGGTGAAAACACTGTTGCACAGTTGTCTTCTTCTCTAACTGGCTATTTTCTCTTCTTTAGCTCTTCCTCCTCCTCCTGCTGCAGAAGAAGAAGCCTCTGCCAACTACTTCAACCTACCCCCAAGTGGTCCTCCAGCCGTGGTGAACATTGCCCTGCCACCTCCCCCTGGTATTGCCCCGCCCCCACCCCCAGGTAACTCATCGTCCTTCTTAGGAAATAGGTTTGACTTAGCCCAGGGAAGTCCTTGTGAAGTCCTGTCCTCACACCTCACCATTACGTCTAACATGTCTAAGTCCTTCGGGTCTGCTCCTTAGAAGTCTACAAGTAAACCTGATTTTTTGGCATTCCTGGTATTCCATTTTCTACTGGCTCGCTAAGGAGAGGAAAGTCTCCAATTCCCTTAACAATTTGAGTATACGTGTAATTAGAATGGGAGTTACTGTGAATACAGTGATTTGTCATCAGTTTTTTCCCTGTTCTAAACGAAATCCTAACAATACCCTAGTGCGCCATTGCTTAAACTGTAGGCTGTGGATCTGTGTTACTCTGGGGTGTTATTACCTACCTGCAGCAAGATAAGGAACTCGTACCAGAATATAAATTCATTAAAAAAGTTCTGTTACCAGAAAGTTGTCAGACGACTTAAATAGTGTGCTTGGTCATGTAATGAAGTTACGTTTTGACTCAAGCTCTTTATCTTGTTGATGGCCAGTAATAAACAGTTCAAAGACCAGCAGTTTGGATAGCACTGCTCTAAGTAGCACTGTCAGTGCCAGTGGAGCAGTGTAGGTAAACCACAAGTAGCCGGCCGGTTCTCCTGCTGCAGAGTTCCCATGCTTTTTGAAGGAGATCCTGGTTTCTGAACACCCGTGACTCAAGTATAAAGCACTGAGGTTAATGATGACATGGTCTTATATCCATCAGCCTGATTTCTGTCTCACCTCCCAAATCCTGACTGAATCCTGTCTGGTAGGATTGGCATGTTTGATCCATAGCAGAGGCTCAGATGGTGGCATCCTAGCAATACCTTGAGACTTGTGGAGGTTTGTTTTTTTTTTTTTTTAAGTCAACCCGCAGGGAAAGGTTTCTAAAACCAAGGAAGTAACACAGGTAAACATCCCTGAGCAAGTCTTGTGAACCAACATTTTCTGAAGCTCCATGTCAATTTGATTTCTATTCAGGTGGTTTTGATCTTAGAAAGATTCAAGCGTTTGAAATGTTGTCAAGAGCCTAACAAATTTGTTCTCTCCACCTGTAGGTTTTGGGCCACACATGTTCCACCCAATGGGACCACCCCCTCCTTTCATGAGGGCTCCAGGACCAATCCACTATCCTTCTCAGGACCCTCAGAGGATGGGAGCTCATGCCGGGAAACACAGCAGCCCCTAGCATATTGTCACCACACTATGGCTCTACGCAAGAGAGGGCACTTAAAAATCCCAGTAAATGAGTCTTGAAATAAATACATTTTTCCTTCCTTTGTAGTTTTCATGGTAGCTGAATACATTCAGATGTGGGCAGTCGGAGAACGACAGCCATGCTTTCCTACGTGTGTTCAAAGGATTGCTGGACCTCAAATAAGCTGCCGTTAACACATCTGGTTACTACCGTAACATTGCTAATAGAACTTAATGCCTCTTCCCCTTACCTCTATGGGGAGCAAGCAACTGGGTGAATTGGAATGTCCGGAGTTGCCATCCCGATTATATGTTCATTTTGTATCTCTTGGGGGTGGGTGTTGGGGTGGGAAATTGACCTGCAGTTTGGAAAAAAAAAACCCAGTGACAAAAACTTTTGACCATTTTTATGTCCATTGGGTAAACGTTTTCCTTTCTATCATCTAAAAAAGGATCACTGGTACTAATCATTTTAGTGGCATGAGTGTGATTTAACACTTCTCAAGTCACACTCTGAGAAAGACAGGTAGAAACCAGCACCCAGTGCAGCCCGTATCTTACTTCTTTCCTCATTTATTCCTAAAGGAATCTGGCTGATAATTTTACTTCTTTATGCTACCAAAAAAGACAAAAGTTAAAAATTACTATTTGTTCCTATCAATCAGATGGAAACAAAAGTGTCATGGGACTGTGTATCACTGAAAACTGGTGTCTGGGATAGAATTATTTTAAGGAACTTCCTGTAAAACACTTTAACTGTGAAGGGAAAAACATTAGAGTGTGTTTGTATGGAAGACTTGTGACCTACAGCTGGAACTTTGATCTTCAGCATTCACCTCTGTGTGTCTTCAGCGACTCATTTTAATTCTCTGCTTTTGGGCAGGGGACTCTGGTCTTAGAATATTTGGATATAACTGAGTTGTAGATGGAAAAAAAAATTTTTTCATGTTGTGTTTTTGTTTTTAAAAAAATTAAAACGGGTCAATTTTCCAAATGTTGTCACAGGTTTATTTCTAGATTTCTGTTTTCTTTATCCTTTGTAGATGAACTTGAGGTCAGTGGAAGTTAGAAACAAGTTACATAAAAATTGAAGGTTTTGCTTGAGGCTGTTTTGATACTAATCTTTATCCATTCTAAGAGACCCAAGCCTTTTTAATACTTACGTCAAAGGTTAGTTATGGGGTTGAAATAAGATAATGAACAGAAGGCTGAAATTCAGCAGAGTCTGCCACATGGATGGTAGCTCTGAAAAGTTATCCTAGTATTATACAGGTCATTTTAAAGGGAAACAGGAAAAACTTATCTACAAGTGTATTTCCCGAAGTCAATTCCCATGTCACTTATCTAAAATATATTCTTGTGGGCTGGACATACCCCCATTTGACCCTGTTTTTAGCTTCTCTGGAGAATTTTTTGTTGTTTTCCTCTAGAGGGCTTTATCTTGGACTTTTTTTTTTTTTTAAGATTAAAAAAATCTAGAAGCACTTATAAGTTTGATTTTATTTCTAGTAATATCAAATGTGAAGCAATGTAGAGGTAATTTCAAATATTTTGACACCCATTTGGGTAGAGTTTTTTGGGAGGTGTCTGCTTTTGATCATGTAAGAGATTTTTAGCTAGTTTGTTAATGTGAAGGAAAGTGTTTTTAATAATTTCCAAATTCAATTATATCCTATACATATAAACACATGTAATTGACTATCCAATTGTGTATTCTTGACTTTTTGAGAAAGATTCTAAGTTTCGTGCACTACCTGGCTATGAATATGTATTTTTTTTGAAGCATAAGCCAGCATAAGTTGAAGTATAGAATAGATGCTTAATAAGTCTTAAGTAAATCAGTTATGAGTAATGAGATTTTGGCAAAAACTCAGGTGCTTACCAAACTTCATATCCTTTTCCTCTAGGGCACACAGCCAGGGGTACACTTGGCGAAAAGTAAACTTTGCCATTCCCAGACTTCGTCTGTAAAAACATCTCACCCACCCAGCCCCGTGAGCTCTTTCCCCATCTGCTGGCTGAATGCGCAGGAGGAGGATCTCTGGAAGATGGCAGTCACACGATGGAAGGAGCCTGGGTTCCTCTATCACTGCTTCAAGGAGAGCACTGTGATAAAAGGGATTTTTGTTACAGTAAGCCATTGAGACCTGGGGTTTATCTGTAACAGCAGCTAGTGTTACTCTAGTAACAGATGCAGTCAGATCTGATCACACACACACACACAAAATCCATTTTTGTTTGTACTGAGTAATGATGATTTAAGCAGACTTTTGAGCCAGATTACCTGAGTTGAAATCCTCACTTCAGCGACCCCCATCTGTGACCCTGGGCACATAACCTCTGTCTAGTTTTCATAATACCTCACCTCCTAACCCTTCTCACTGCCTATAATATTTTGAGCTCCTCCCCTCTTGGAGAAGGCTCAGAAGGTACAGCCTCATGACAGCAGGACGAAGGCAGTGATGGCCCATGGGGCAAAGAGTGAAATGTGACAGATGTTTTGGAAGCCAAATCAGTGAGACATTGTGACCTGAAATAAATGGGGGCGAAAGAGGAGGAGTCAGAGTGATCCTTCTCCCCTCACCACTACCCTTCCAAGTATCTGGCTTGGTCAGCTGGTTGGCAGTATGTCTTTGCCCAAAATAGAGAATGCTGGGGAGGAGAGTGGGATTGGGGGGGAGGAATAGGAAAATGAATCCAATATTGGATCTGGTGAATTGAAGGTACCTATGAAACAGGCCTGTGGAAATTAACCAGCCCAAAGAGAATTAGAGCTTAAGACAGGTCAAGATTTGGGAGTTAGCCGTGAAGTGATGGCATCTGAAGCCTTGGGTGTGGAATAAAATCCTCCAGGATGGGGATATAGAACATTAGTTCTTAAACTTCAGCGGGTCTCAGTAAGTGCCTAGGTGTTCTATGTTGGTGAGGCAAAGACCACCCTTTGAGAAACACTAGTATAGAATGAGGTCACGCCTAAGATTAGAAAATAGTGCCCTCCCCAGAGATCCTGTAGTCTTTGTATTTCTCCCTAACATTTTATTATAAAAATTTTGTAACATACAGGAAAGCTAAAAGGATTTTACTGTGAACAATCATGTACCCACTAGCTAGACCTAAAATTAACATCTGGCCGTATTTGCTGCATCACATATCCATTTCTTTATGCATTCGTTAATCGATTTTTATGCATTTCAGAATAAATTGAAGGCATCAGTACACTTCACCTTTAAACATGTAAGCATTTGTATAATTACCCAGAGTTCAGTATTTGTTTATGAATTTTTTAGATAAAACTTAACATAGATTGAAATGCACAGTTCTTGAGTATGCCATTCAAGACATTTAACAGCTGTATACAGCTATCTGGCCCAAAGCCCTGCCAAGATTTAGAACATTGCTATCCTCCAGAAAATTTCCCCCTGCTCTTCCCAGTCAATACCCATTTCCCACCAGTCTCCAAAGGCAACTACTATTCTGATTTTTTCCACCATAGATTATTTTACTTATTTTAAAACTTAATATAAATGGAATCATGCCGCAGAACTCTTTGTGTTTGGCTTCTTTACAGCAACATGATGCTTTGGAGAATCAGCCATGATATTAAATATAATTTCCTCCATTTTACTGTTGAGTTAGCATTCCAGTGTATGACTATACCCTCACTTACCTATGCACTTTTTGCTATTATGACTTAAAACTGCTACGAACATCCTTTTACACATTTTTTTCGTGAGTATGTTTTTATTTCTTTTGAATAAGTATTTTGGAATGCAATTACTGGGTCATGAGGCAGGTGCCTGTTTAGTTTTAAAAGTAACTGTTGGACCTTTTTCCAAACTGGCTGTACCATTTTACATTTCCACCAGCAATGCATAAAAATTGTGCTGCAACACCATGAACATTTGGTGTAAACAGTCTTTTGAATTTTAGCCATTCTGGTGGGCATATAGTAGTATTTCATTGTGTTTTTAATTTGCACTCCTATTATGACAAATAAGTTGAGAACCTTTTCTAATGCTTATGGTCATTTATTTATCTTTTGTGAAGTATCTGCTCAAATATTTTGGCCATTTTTACTGGGTATCTTTTTATTAACTAGTTACAGGAGGTTTTTTTTTTAATATGTCCTAGAAATTAGTTCTTTATCAGATATATGTTTACAAATATTTTCTCCGAGTCTGTGGCCTGCCTATTATCTTCTCTAATGATGTCTTTTGACGAGCAGAGGTTTTTCATTTTATTGAAGCCTAATTTATTGTGTAGTAGACCAAAATCTGTATTAGTTTGCCAGAGCTGCCATAACAAAGTATTGCAAACTGGGTGGCTTAAACAGCTGATATTTATTGTCTCACCTTTCTGGAGGTTGATGACCAAGATTGAGGTGTTGCCGAGGTTGATTCTTTCTAAGACAGTGAGAATCTGTTCCATGCTTCTCTCCTAGCTTCCGGCGTTTGCTGGCAGTCTTTGTCATTCCTTGGCTTGTAGAAATATCACCCTGATCTCTGCCTTCATCTTCACACCATGTTGTCCCTGTGTGCACGACTGTGTCCAAACTCCCCCTTATTATAAGGACACCAGTCACATTGGATTAGGGCCCACTCTAATGACTTCATTTATTGTTGAAAAGATTTTCCTTCTTTAGGTCTTTTGTATTTCCACATAAACTTTTAAATCAATTTGTCAATTTCTACAAAAACACAGGACTATGATTGGGATTGTGTTGAATCTATAGATCAATTTGGGGAGAATATTGAGCCTGCCAGTCTATGGGCATGGTATACTTAATTAAGTTTTCTTTAATTACTCTCAGCAGTGTTTTGTACTTTCAGTGTACAGGGCTTGCACGACCTTAGTTACATTTATAACTAAAAATTTTGCGATTTGTTGCTATTGTAAATGGACTTTCATAAAATTTGTTTTCCAGTTGTTGCAGCTAATACATGACAATAGGTTTTATTTTTATGTATCAGCCCTGCATCCTGTGACTCTGCTGACTTCACTCAGGGTTTCTAGCAGTTCTTTTGTAGATTCCTGTGATGAGCTACGTAAGTCACATCATTTGGGAATAACCATTTTACTTATTTATTTCCAATCTTCATGCCTTTTCTTTCTTTTCCTGCCTCTACTCACCTGGCTAGGACCCTGAGTAAAATATTAAATAGAACTGGTGAGAGTGGACGTCTTTGTCTTTTTCCCACTTTTCAGAGTATATAGTATTCAGTATTTTACCCTTAAGTACTTTATTAACTATAGATTTTTTTGTAGCTGCCTTTTATCAGATAGAATTTACCTTCCAAATTTTCTGAGTTTTCGCCATAAATTTGTGTTGAATTTTGCCAGTGCTTCTTCTGTGTCCTATGGTTTTCTCTTTTACTATGTTAATGTAGTGAATTACACTGATTGATTTTTAAATTGTTAAACCAAGCTTGTATTCCTGGGATTCACCTAACCTAGCCATAATGTTTTTTATTTTTATATATTTATTTACATTTTTTAGTTTTATATTTTCCAGTTTTATTGAGCTATAACTGACACATAACATTGTATTAGCTTAAGGTGTACAACATAATGATTTGATATATGTACATATTATGACATGCTTACCAAAATAAATTTAGTTAACATCTATCACCTTACATAGTTAGATTTCCTTTTGTTGTGACGAGAACTTTTAAGATCTACTCTCAGCAACTTTCAAATTTATAGCACAGTATTGTTAACTATGGTCACTATGCTGTATATTACATCCCCAAAACTTATTTATCTTGTAACCAAGAAGTTTGTACCTTTTGACCACCTTGACTCATTTAAAGCCATATAACACAATACAGTCATATATTTATCTAAAAAGCATATATTGACATATTTATAAATTTAAGTATATAACTTATTTTTTGTGTCTGTGTTCATATGAGATATTGGTGTTGAATTTTCTTCTCTGTAACATCAATTTTCTTCTAGCCTTATAAAATATATTTGGAAATGTTACCTCTTCCTTTATATTCTGAAAGAGTTTGTGTAACATTGCTATTATTTTTTCCTTATATGTTTGATAAAATTCGCCAGTGAAGCCATCTGGGCCTGGAGTTTTCTTTGTGGGATTTTTTTTTCCCCTTTAGTTTTAAAACTTAAAAAAACCAAAAAACAAAAAAAAAACCTTTCGATTTACAGAAACGTTGCAAAGTTAATGGTGAGTTCTTGTGTACTCTTCACCCAGCTCCCCCTAACATTTACATCTTATGTAGCCATGGTTTATTTGTCAAAGCTAAGAAATCAACATTGGTACAATACTGTTAACTGAATTAAGTCTTGATTTGGATTTCCCCTCTGATATCCTTCTTCTGTGCCAGTATTCCATCCAGGCGCCCACATTACATTTAGTTGTTGTGTCTCCTTAGACTCCTCCAACCTGTGACAATTTCTCAGTCTTTCCTTGTTTTTCATGATCTTGATATGTTTGAAGAGGACTGGTCAGATATTTTGTAGAATCTCTCTCAATTTGTATTTGTCTGATGTTCTTTCTGTTTAAACTTATTCTTTTAAACCCTGTTTAGACAGGGTTATGGATTTGGTGAAAATACCACAAGGGGGAGTGCCCTTCTCATCACTTTATATGAGGAATTTTAATTCACTCATGATGTTAACCTTGATCATTTGGTTAAGGTGGTGTCTTTGTAAAGTTACTATTTTGCCTTCCTATGCTTTATTGTTTGGAAGCGAATCAGTAAATCCAGTCTATAATCAATAGGAGGGGAATTAAGCTCCACTTCCTGAAAGGGGCAGTATCTACATATATTATTTGGAGGTCTTCTGTAAGGAAGGAAGATTTGCCCCTCCCCCTCCCTATTTATTTATTCAATCATTTGTTTATATCACTGAATTCATGAATATTTAGTTTATTATTAGAGTTATAATCTCCCATGGGTTGTCTTTTCACTCTCTTGGTAGTATTTTTTGATGCACAAAGGTTTTTTTTTTAACATTTTTTTGAGTTATAGTCATTTTACAATGTTGTGTCAAATTCCAGTGTAGAGCACAATTTTTCAGTTATACATGAACATATGTATATTCATTGTCACTGTGAACTACCATAACATCTTGTATATATTTCCCTGTGCTTTATAGTATAATCTTGTTTATTTAGTCTACATTTTGAAATCCCAGTCTGTGCCTTCCCACCCCCACCCCCTTGGCAACCATAAGTTTGTATGCTATATCTATGAGTCTGTTTCTGTTTTGTATTTATTTATTTATTTATTTTTAGATTCCACATTTGAGCGATCTCATATGTTATTTTTCTTTCTCTTTCTGGCTTACTTCACTTAGAATGACATTCTCCAGGAGCATCCAAGTTGCTGCAAATGGCGTTATGTTGTCGGTTTTT